CAGGCCTAGTCTCCTAGTATGATCTTTGATCTCACAATTTAAGGTGAAGGAATTTAGCCAAGAGATTTACCTGTACAATCACTTAAGTATAAGGATAAACAGTATATCATTGTTCAAAATAGCAAGAATAGAAACAATTCAACCCAAGTGAAATTTGATAGAGAAATTCTGTTATAGCCACACAGTAGAATACCATATGCAGCTAGTAAAAAAAAAAAAAAAGAATAAGTTTACTAATGCTGATTAAAATAAAATAAATTGGCCAGGCTTGGTAGCTCAGCCTATAATCCCAGCACTTTGTGAGGCCTGAGCCCGTGGGTTCGAGACCAGCCCGGGCAACTTTGTGAGACCTCATCTCTACAAAAAAACCAAAAATTAGCCTGGCGCAGTAGTGCACACCTGTAGTTCCAGCTACTTGGAAGGCTGAGGCGGAAGGATTGCCGGAGCCTGGCAGGTCGAGACTGGGGCGGTGATGAGCGTACCACTATACTCCAGCCTGAGCGAGGGAGTGAGACTCCAACTCAAAAAAATAAAATAAAATAAGCCAGGCTCGGTGGCTCAGCCTGTAATCCCGCACCTTTGGGAGGCTGAGGTGAGTGGATTGCCTGAGCCCGCGGGTTCGAGACCCGCCTGGGCAGCGAGACCTCATCTCTGCAATAAATCAAAAAATCAGCTGGGCGTGGTAGCGCATGCCTGTAATTCCGGCTACTCGGAAGGCTGATGCGGAAGGATCACCGGAGCCCAGCAGGTCGAGGCTGCGGTGGCCGTGATCGGCCACTGCACTCCAGGCTGGGCGACAGAGTGAGACTCCGACTCAAAAAAAAAAGAAAACTAAAAAAAAAAAAATCAGCCGGGTGTGGTAGCGCGCGCCTGTAATTCCGGCAACTCGGAAGGTTGAGGCAGAAGGATCACCAGAGCCCAGCAGGTCAAGGCTGCGGTGGTCGGAGCGGCCACTGCACTCCAGTCTGGGCAACAGAGTGAGACTCCAACTCAAAAAAAAAAATTAAAATTAAAAAATAAAATAATAAAATAAATCCTCAAAATATTAATTAAAGCATTAAGTCAGTAAAGTAGGTATAGTAGTCTGCCATTTATATTTTTTTGAAAAGGCAAGAGGAATATATATCCATGTATATGCTTGTACATGCATAGAAGTTCTCCAAAAAAGTACACAGGCAACTGGTAAAAGTGGTTGTTTGCAATAAAGGTCAAGGATGGGAGTGTAATATACTCATTACACTATTTTTATAGTTTTTACTATAAATATAAAGTATAAGTGAATAAAGATGTTACTTTTTTAACAATTTATGTATTACTGATGCTATTACAAATATAGTAACATGAACACACCAAAGTAAATCTTTGTTTCTAATGCAAAGAGACTTGACTTCTTTTTCTGTTTGGGTTCTTTATATGTTACCCTTTATTCCAAGTCACCTCTCATCACATTTATCTTCACATTATCTTAATCATGTGTTCTTAATATGAAAACATTTATCTTGAGAATACTCACTTCCTGTTTTGTCTCTGTCTTCCATTCACTCCTAAATCCCGAAACCTGCCATACTGCCTGCTAATACTTTGATAAAATTCTGACCCTATTCTGAATTCCCTCCTTTTACAGAAGTCTTTTCAAGCAGTGGTGTTTTTTTCTCCCATTGGGCCTGGAGGAAGTAGTCCTTGTTCTTTTTTGTTCCTTACAGATTATTCATTTTTTCTTCCCTAAATCCTCTTGGCTTTACATCTCATGTCATCAGATTATATCATTTGTGATCCCTTGTGTTTGCCCTTGTTACCCCTTGTCATTGCTCTGTGATTTGTAGCTCTTTGTTCAGTTATTCTTTCCAACCCTATTCTTCTTCTCCTTTGTAACAAAACTCACAACAGTTGTTTTTGCTCAAAAGAGTTGTCTACATTTGCTGTCTCCTTTTCTTCTTCACCATTCTCTCTTAAATCCATTCCGATCAGATCTCTTTTGAACATAACGCCACAGAAAAAGTTTTTGTCTTGGTTATCAGTGACTTTTCCATTGCTAGATCCAATGATCTGTTTTCAGTCCTCATCTTAATCTAGCAGCAGTATTAATATGGATACAATTAGTCACTCTCTTGTTCTTAATACCTTTTCTTGCACTTGACTTACAATACTCGTCAAGTACTTTTTTTATTTCCTTTCTCTTTTAATGATCATTCCTTCTTGGCCCCTTTTATTGAATCTTGTTAGAATGCCCCGGGTCTTATGCCCTGGTCTTCTTTTACTTATTTATATTCATGTCTTTAGTAAAATCCGAATGCAGCATGTTTTAAAATACCATTTATATGCTTGTTATTGCCAAATTTTTATGTCCAGCCCGGCTGTCCCTCTTGAATTTCATATTCGTATGTCCAACTGGCTGTTCAATTACTCCCATATCTTAGGTTTAACATGTTCACGATGAAGCTTTTATTTATTTATTTTGAGTCTCACTCTGTCACCCAGGCTAGAGTGCAGTGGCACACTCACAGCCACTCCAGTGTTGACCTGCTAGGCTCCGGCAATCCTTTCACCTCAGCCTTCCAAGTAACTGGAACTACAGGCGCGCTACTACGTTCGGCTAATTTTTTAAAAATTTTATTGTAGAGATGAAGTCTCACCACGTTGCCCTGGCTGGTCTCGAACCTGTAGTCTCAGACAATCCACTTGCCTCGGCCTCCCAAAGTGCTGGGTTTATAGGCTGAGCCACTGAGCCCAGCCAAGTTTTTTTCTTAAAACCTGATTATTTACAGTCTTTTATTTTATCTCTATTGATGATAACTGCATTTTTTTCTCAGGTCAAAATTCATTCTTAATTTTTCTTTTTCTCTAATGCTTCATTCCATCAATCAGAAAATCGTATTGACTCTATAAAATATATTTGGAATTATCCTACCTCCCATCACCTCCATTCTGATCTAAGCTAACATCTTCTGTTACCTGGATAACTCCTGATAGTCCCCTAATGGGTCACCCTGCTTCCACCCTTATCCTTTGTTATGAACTGTGAAGGTTCTGGGATTTGACTCTATTTTTAAACCAATAAGTTAACCTGCCACAATTTCGTGGCAGAAAACATTGGACTCCTGGGTCAAACAAAGGAGGGATTATTACAGCAAAAGCAAGAGTCAAAGTATCAGCATATGTGCTAACTTCTCAATCTCCAGTTCCCCCGGGGTAACACAAAGAGGGTCAGATGATAACTACACTTACAGTGAGGTACTTTATAGGAGACGAACCTATAGGTAACCCACATTTTTAATACTGAGGTGGCAGGGGGTGGGGTGGAGAGATACTATCTCAATGCCTCTGCTCACAAGAGGAGATTAGTTTCCCAGTATCCTTCTGCATCTGCTCTCAGTATGCCAGTCTAGTCTTCTGTTAAAAATCTTCCCATGCAACTGCCAGGGGAGGGGTGGTACACTTCATCAACAAGGGTCTCTGTATAATGAACATTTCTATATCTAACCCTAAACTGTACCCCACATCTTTAAGAAAATAAAAAATAAATCTTTCCATGCTTCCCATTTTATTCTGAGTATAAACACAAGTATTAACAACAGTTTTCAAGGTCCTACACAACATGTCTCCCACATGTTCCTCTCTCTCTGACCTCACGTCCTATACTGCACGGTGCTGCTCTCCCATCACTGATTCTGTTTCAGTCTCTCTGCTGTCTTCCGGCCACATGCCATAGACCCTTAGGGTCTTTGCATTAGCTATACCTGTGGCCTGAAAAGCTTTCCCTTCAGATATCTTACTTGCTCCATGTTACCCTCTCCATGACACTGTCCAACTTCCCACACCATCACCATTTCCACTGTTATATAACATGGTTTTCTTTGAAACATACTCTTTATAATATTTGTGTTTATCATTTGTCATCTCCCTATGCCAGAATATAAACTCCATGAGGAGAAGGATTTTGTTTTTTTAATCACTGATATATATATAAAGTACCTAGGGTAGTACTTTGTGCATAAAAGACTTTTAGTAATTATTTGATGAGTGGATGAGTGAGGGGTTGATTATTTTTATATTCATGTTAAATTTAATTTTCAGCAAAAAAAGGCAAAACCTGTTCTTCACATTTGTATATGAAAAGCTTTAGTGTATGAGATAAATGTTTGAAGTGAGCATAGCTTTCATTTTATTCTGTTAATTTTAAATACACACAAAATTACTGTTTGTTCAGATGGCTCTCAAGTCAAGGGTGGATGTTGTTGCTACCTTACTAGATGTCCTAATTTTCTAAAATGAACATATTAAATAATGTAAGTCTATTTATTAATACTTTTACTTCCTTTGATCCCTGGTCTCTTAGGTTATGAATCAGTAGAATTATATGAACTCTTTAAAAAACAAATTTTTTTTGTTTTTATTTTAAAGATGGTACAAGTCAGGGTTAGCTATACAAATGTTCATTATGCAGGTACCCTTGTTGGTGAGGTGTGCCTCTCCCTCCACTGGCAGTTTCCCTCAACTGCCAATCCCACTCCCCCTTTCCTGGAAGTTTCCCACTACTGCCAATCCCTTTCTTATAGTATTATGATAATTGTTCAAGGTCTGCTTATGAGTGAGAACATATGGTACTCTGTTCTTTGTTTCTGTGATAGATCTCTGAATATGATTGACTCTAAATCCATCCAAGTTGCTGCAAAGTCCATATGTTTGTCCTTTATGGCTGCATAATATTCCACTGTGTTTATGTTCCACAATTTTTTAATTCAATCTAGCTTCGATGGGCAGCATGGTTGGTTCCAGTTTTTGCTATTGTGATTAGAGCTGCAACAAACATGTGTGTGCAGGTATTTTTTGGTAGAATGGCTTGAGTTCCTCCAGGTATATTCCCAATAGGGGAATTGCTGGGTCATTATATGAACTTTTAACATGAGAAATTTATTCTTCTTTTGAGCATAGATTATATTTTCTACTATATTCTCAGTTGTCTAAATTACAGATGAAATATTATGTTTGCACATCTCTTTTCTTGATTTTAATTTAGACAATGTGTAACAGGTTTATGTTCTCAAAACTGACCTCCAAAGTATAGTCTAGCAATTTGCACAAGATATAAATTGTTTACAGAGTAATGTTATTAATTTCCCTTTTTTAGTATGCACAAAGAAGCATTTATATGAGAAAGATAGATGTATGTGATTTCTGAAGATATTCAACATTTGTTAAAGTTAAAAAGGCAGTCTCAAAATCATATGAAGAATATATTCCCATGAATGCAAAAGGAATAAGTCACTTACATTTTATCTGTTAGCATGTGTGCGTTTTTTGAAAAATACTAACACTGGTCTGGAAAATTAAATACACTGTACTGTTAAGACTGGGTGCCTTTGGGGGAGGGAGTGACATTGGCAGAGAAATAAAGGAGACTTACCCCCTTTTCTCTTTGGAATGTTTCCCATGTATTCAAATATTATATAAATCACCAAAAAAATGTAAAATAAACCATAAACACCACCCAGTTATCTTTTCTTTTACTGAGTCACTTGCTTGCTTCTCTGTACCATCCTGTTGTTGGATGGACTCTCTGTTCTTTGATGAGCAACCAATGAATCTTTAAACCGCCATGTTTTCCTATGGCATTATAATAGGTTAGTTGCATGCTAAATGTTAATCTTTTCTCTTGTTTAGGTGATATTTTCAGCTGCCATGCAGTTGATAACCCCAAACCCCACTCAGAACTTGAGATGCTCAGACAGTATGGACCAAATGTGCCTGAGCCCATCCTTCAGAAGCTTGTGGCTGCTTTTGGAGAGCTAAGGAATTTGGCCGACCAGGGGATCATCAACTATCCTTATTCTACTAGGGAAGTTGTCAACATAGTCAAACATTTACAGGTATGGCACAAACCTATGCATAAAGGTTTCAAAGACCCCATCTCTTTTTTTCAGACTGCACAATTTATACCAACCCTTTTGATTTCCATAAATATGATAATGAGTCAGATATCATGTTATAAAGTGTTTGAACCTAGTTTATAAATCTGGAAAGCCAGTGAACATTATCTGTATAGCCTTTGAATTTACTTTGACAAGGTTCTGTGCCATGATCATTACCAAAGAGCTAAGAAATTTGGTGGAGGGATTTTTAGAGGAGAGGTGAGGCAAGAGAATAAATCAGTGGAGAACCCTTCCTGTTCTATCGCTTGTGATATCCGGGTGAAACAAGCATGAGGTATCTGGGTGAAAAACATTTTTATTTTGAAACAAATGACATGGAGATGGTAAACAGAATAGGAACAGATAGTATTGATTATATACCTGTAATTACTGCAAGAATGTCTAAAAAAATAGAATACGTAGGAGAATGAAATTTCTTGTGACCATGTACAATGTAAAAAAAAAAACCCATGTAAATTCTACCTATAAAACAAGTAATAGTTTCAAGCTAACAATCACATCCTAATGACTTGACCTCTGCCCGTCCCCCAAACCTCCCAGAAAACTCTAGAATGAAAAATAGAAAGCTGAGGGTTTGGGGTGCAGAGAGGAGAGGATGTTGGTTAGAGGGTAAAAAGTTTCAGTAAGACAGGAGGAATATATTTTTGACATCTATTGCATAGCATGGTAACTATATTTAATAATAATGTAATGGAACAAACACAGTAGCTCATATCTGTAACCCCAATACATTGGAAAGTTGAGGCAGGAGGATTGCTTGAGCCTAGGACTATGAGACCAACATAGGCAACATAGTGAGACCTCGTCTTTAAAACAAAATTTGAAAAATAGCTGGGCGTAGTGGCGTGCACTTATAGTAAACTACTCTGGAGGCTCAGGCATAAGGATTGCCTGAGCCCAGGAAATCGAGGCTTTGGTGAGCTGTGATCATGCCACTGAACTCCAGCCTTGGTGACGGAGGGAGAACCTGACTCAAAATAATAATAATAGTAATCATCATCATCATCATCATGTGTCTTTCTTTCTTTCTTTCTTTCTTTCTTTCTTTCTTTCTTTCTTTCTTTCTTTCTTTCTTTCTTTCTTTCTTTCTTTCTTTCTTTCTTTTCTTTTCTTTTCTTTTCTTTTTTTTGAGTTGGAATCTCACTCTTGTCACCCAGGCTAGAGTGCAGTGGCACGCTCATGGCTATCACAGCCTCAACCTGCTGTACTAGGTGATCTTTCTGCCTCATGCTTCCAAGTAGCTGGAACTACAGGTGCATGCCATCCACACCTGGCTAATTTTTTGTGTGTTATTTATTGTAGAGATGAGATCTCACCAAGTTGCCCAGGCTGGTCTCTAACCCCTGAGCTCAGGCAATCCTCTCACCTCAGCCTCCCAAGGTGTTGGGATTACAGGCTGAGCCACCACACCTGGAGAATGATGTGTATTTCAAAGTTTCTGGTAGATTTTAGATGTTTGTACCACATATACACAATGGACTATTACACAGCCATAAAAAAGAATGAAATCATGAATTTTGCAGCAACCTGGATGGAATTGGAGTTTATAATACTGAGTGATCTCTCACAGAAACAAAGATCTGAGTATCACATGTTCTCACTCATAAGTGGACCTTGAACAACTATCATAATACTATAAGAAAAGGATTGACAGTGGCGGGAAATTATGGGGGGGGCAGGGAGGGGAAGGGAGGTGGGATTAATGGTAGTCAATATCTGTCTGGGGATGGGGGGGCACACCTCATCAACAAGGGTACCTGCACAATGCATATTGGTATACCTAACCCTTAACTGTACCCCACAATTTTAAAATAAAAAATATGTTAAAAAAAACCAAAAAACCTTTTGCAGCTGGGGAAAAAAAAGTTTGTACCACAAAAAAATGATAAGTATGTGAAGTGATGAATATGTTAATTAGCTTCATTTAATCATTTTATAATGTATACATTCATTGAAACATCATTTTATACCCCATAAATATATACCAGTATTATATGTCAATTAATATATATATTTCTTTCCATATATATTTGGAAGGAAAAAATATATATGAAAAGAAAAATAGAAGGGTTTATTCTGCCTTATAAGTCCAATTCAGCTAGCTTGGACTCCAATACTTAGAGCAAAACAATGCAGAACGAATAAAGGACCCAGAGGGCACAACCAGTGTAAATTTAGCTGTTGGAATGCTTGTTTTATTGCTCTCTGCTTGTCCCTATTTCTCTTTCCCTGTACTTCTTATGTTCGTCCTCCTTTCTTTTCTTGTTCCTTTGTCTTTTTTTCACTTATTCATAGACTGTGACTTATCTAAATAATTCTGTGTATACATTTAACATTCTTTTTTTTTTTGAGTTGGAATCTCACTGTGTTCCCCAGGCTGGAGTGCAGTGGCATGCTCACAGCCACCCCAGCATCGACCTGCTGGGCTCCAGGGATCCTTCCACCTCAGCCTTCCAAGTAGCCAGAACTACAGGCATGCGCTACCACACCCGGCTAATTTTTTTATTTATTGTAGAGATGAGGTCTCGCTAAATTGCCCGGGTTGGTCTCGAACCTGTGGACTCAGGCAATCCACTCACCTCAGCCTCCCAAAGTGCTGGGATTACAGGCTGAGCCACTGAGCCTGACCTAACATTCTTCTTAACTAGTGTTAAGTCATTTGAGCAAACGCTGAGAGAGAAAAATGTGTATATTCCTATTTCCTGGTTGTCTGACAAGCCCAGTAAATTTCTGCTAAGCTCATTTGATCATTATTTTTCTCTCAGTTTTGTAAATCTTTATAATGTTGTGTATTTTATCACATATAATAAGGGAAAATTTTTTTTAATACAGAAATTTCCCACTGAAGGGCTCTCCAGTGTGGTTCGGAATGTGTTTGACTTTGATTCCTATAACAACGACATGAGGGAGATTTTGATTAATACTTTACACAAATACGGGATACCAATCGGAGCGAAGCCCACCAGTGTGCAGCTGGCAAAGGAGTAAGGCAAACTCATTGTTGATCAAAATACTCTTGAGCAGTGTTCATTTAATTCTTAAATGCTGGTAATTCTTGGTCTACTGTTTATTAAGCTGAGTTGCTATGAAAATTATTATATGTTGCTATTTGCTGGTTGGTTTTCAGTTAAATAGCATTGTTTATAGGCCTGTAAATTGAGAATTTTGATTATTATGAATGTCCCATGAGTAGATATAATATAATCAAATAAAGGGAAATATTTGTTTCTTTAAAAGTCTCTGTCCTTTTGTTGAATTAACATGGGTCTCATTATTTTGTAATCCAGTGTGAAGTCATTGTACAAACACAAAAACTACGTGAAGGGATAATGTACATTTAGTTAAGATGTTCTTATTTATGTTGCCATATAGTTTTCTTTATGTTAGTTTTCTAAATTTAAAATAATATTCACTTAAGAAATTTTTGGTTACTTAATTCAGCTTCATAGATGAAAGAGGTAGTGAGAACTAGTGGGTTCATTTCATGTGGACCAGTTGCCTACCCTTTATTTTATAATCACAGGCTACTTAACTTTAGTTAAAAATTTTGCAGATATCTTGTTGGTCAGAAAAACAGGTGACAGAGTTGATAAGGTAATTAAATCCGTACAAATTCCCCGGAAACAGTTTTAAATAGGCATAGCCTATTGATAATGTATCTAATGCCATCTTTGTCAATAAAAATAGTCAATTATAAATTCTCAAGGGACAGTGATTACTTTTAAGGTAAATTTCTATTCAACTTTAGTCTTATGTAGGAGTCACTATCTTTCTGTAGAAAAATTTAAGTATGTATCAATGACTATCCCAGCCCTCCCAAATATATATATATATGTGAGTGTGTGTATCATCCCTATTTATTAGTTCTTTGAAATCATTATAAAAACTTATCAGAACATATGCCAACAAAAATAAATAACTAAAGTCAAGAATTTCTTAAAGAGAAACAAATATTTCCCTTTTGTGGTGAAAGCACAAGATGGAGTTAGAAATTATCAGTGAGCTGGTTTATATTATTAATGACTGAGTACATTTTTTTCAAGAAGAATGACTGGATTGCCAGTTGGGAATGCCTACACTGTTCTGTGCAATACTGTTTTGCTTATTAGCAGTCCTTAGGGTTATTTGAAATTAGGACAGTAATTTAATGGGTATAACATCTTCTAAATTAGAGATCAAGAAATTGTCTTTAATATGCAAACTTATATACTCATGTTTTTCACTTCATTTTTATAATCTATATCTTTTTTAAAATTGGAAATAAGATCGTTTTTATTGCCTTTAACAAATTGATATAATTAGAGTTCTAGTTTCATGGAAACTTAGGCTTGTAATTTAAAAATAACCTTTTTGTACTCTTGCACAACTTTAAATAAAAATTAAAATACATATTAATTGGTAAGATCAATCATAAGAAAATTGTTTCTAAGGAAACCTCAGGTCCTGAGGAAAACAGATAAAAAGGTTTAACTTATTGTTGTCTTCAGTTCTCATCTGAAAAATTTTTGCCATGGTATGCTAATTCTTGCTACAGCAAGTTAGTTCCTACTCTAGTACTTACTTAAGGAGAAGCATAAGTATATTGAGCCTGGAAACAAGACGGTCACACTCATGCTTAAGATAGACATGGAAGCAACTAGTTGTTCACCCACTAAATAACTAAAAATAGACTTGTAGCAGATGTGAAAGATAAGTGAATTTTCCTTTGGGATAGAGATAATAGACTATAATTTGCACAGTCATTCACAGAATTTTTTTCCCCATCTATAAATTGAATGACATATAGCTCAAAAGTAGTAATGTTATTTTATTGCCTTTCCTTGTAATCTACAAATTCCACAGCACTCTTTCTATCGAATTATCACCCTTGTACTTAGAAAGGATGACATGATAAAGTGATCGAAGTAGTGGCCTGGGAATTTACCAGTTAGTCATATGTTCAACCTGTATGCATGAGTCAGACATGGAGAAAAGGATGAAAAGACAGTGTGTCATAGACCCTCAAAGAGCTTGCAATTCCATTTTGGTCATTTAAATTTGGAGCAGTTACTTAACTAAATGAGTTCCCTGTTGGTAAAGGGAGGACATTTTATTATAGATAGCATATCCATGTGATTTGCCTTCTAAATCAGGACATTTTTGAGAATGGAAGGAGCTATTGACAATAACTCTGAAAAAAGAAATGTAAAATAAGACAGTCCTGGTAGGCCAGAATGTGTGGTTATCCTCATTGTAGACCATCAGTAAGGTTCCTTTCTTTTCTAACATCCTTTTCATTTTAATACAATCTTAAAGTTTCTCTCATCTGCAAACACAAACTTAAAAAAGATGGGATACTCGTACTTTCCTTCTCCCCCCACCAGAGTATTATACTGTTGATAGTTTCACATAGTCTTCTGAAAGTTGAAAGTTATCCCAATAAAGTCTTGGGATTTGACTTTGACTTTTGTAGACCTTTTATTAAATCAGTTCTTCTAGGCTGCTTCTGCCCAACTCTGCTTGATCTACAAATATATTACCAGATCTTAGTACCAGTGTTAGAATTGGCTACTAGACCCCCATGCTGCATTTGCCCCTTTCCACTAGCACTTTACGAGGTTTATAATTGGTTCCTTTTACATTTCCAATACGTGGGAAAGGATATGCCAGAGATGGCAAATATAACCAAATAAGGTGATATACTGGGATAAATTATTTTTTAAAATATAAATAATATGCTATATATAGAGCTTGAATTTAATTCTGTGACATTTGTCCTATAGCGAAACAACTAATCTAGCCAATTCGTGTTTTGTGTTTGTGTGTGTGTTACATGCACACACGTATTAATCTCATTTTGTCAATATTGTAGACAGAGATAAGAGGATTTGAGTTAAAATCTTAACTTTCAAATTCTAAATGTCATTGTTGGAAATATCTAATATATATATGTATATTAGGTACAAACACGCACACACACATTTTTTTAACAGAAGTAGGTCCAAATATGCAACCAAATACATACAGATTATCTGCTGTACTGAAATAGAGATGACTATAAATATATATATATATATATATATATATATATATAAACTGTATAGCTTATAAACTTTAAAGCAAAGTTCTCTTGTTTTTCCCTCAAGTGAACTTTTATTTCTGAAGTTTCTTTTATTTGAGAATAAAAGAAATACTGCTAACACATTAGCACTTCCAAATTAAAAAATGCATTTCAGAATAATTTATGATCTCTGTTATACTGGAGAAATGCTTGTTTTAAAGGAAGAAAAAACACCTTTTTTTCTAAACTTCCATTTTAAGAAGCTTATACACTGTTTTATCTTAAATTTGTATGCCACTCTCAACAGTTCTGAAGATAAAAAATTGTCATTTTATAGGTCTACAATGAAATGTAAATACTCTACTTCTAAATATATTAATAATATTATTAATGTTTTAATGATTATATTTAATAATAATGATAATGGTAATAATGATGGTAATAGGATAATCATGATGATGGCAGTAGAAACATTTATAGATAACAAGTGCCAAACATATTTCTAGGCAGTTTCTTGACATGAATTTATATAATCCTCACAACAAACTTATGATATGTACATAATATTACTGTATTTTATAGATAAGGAATTTGAGGCACAGAGAAGTTACATAACTTGCCTGAGGTTAGAAAGCAAGGGCAGAGCAGGGATATATGTAATATTGATTCCTTTTCTAAGGATGATATAAACAGATTGATATGCAAATTTTAGGGAATTTCTAAATAAGAGTTATTAATTGGATACAGAAAATTATCAGTACATTAGGTTTAAAAGGACATTGGGATTTTAAGTAAATGGAAATCATCATTGACCATAATGTTGTATACATATAATATTCAAATTCTTATTCTTAAGAGAGCTATAACAGATTCACATTCTTGGATTTTAGCTATAAAAGTAAGCCAAAAGGAAGACTAATATGAACTTTTGACACAATGGAGATTATTTTAGAGATCTCTTTATTCCCATTTAAGCTTTTCTTTCTCATGACATAATGAAGGATCATGAAATAAAACATAAGGTAATTTATGTAGAAAAATAAAAACATTAGAAAACTTTATATGACTACCACATATAAGAAGTGTACTAGCTGTCATTTTTTCCTGATTTGGAACACAAAAGGAATTTATAGACTCTTCTCAAAAATTGTGGTCATTTTAAAAATGAACATGCAGAGGAATTGTCTCTACCTTCTGAAGTTATCATCATGTGTTTTTCTCTCTCTGTTTTCTCTGAGACACATGTTCTATACAATATTTAAATTGTTATCAAAATATTTAAATGATCATCAAAGAATTTACTTTAAATTATTTGCCCTCAATTCTGTTGATTTATTTGTTAGTGCTACTAGGTTTATTATTAAGTCTTTTTTGTCCCTCAAAGCACTTACTGCCTGTCTGTCACTAGGAAACCAACTACAAACTACAATTCATTAATTTATATCAGTCAAGTAGAATTCAAAATGTAAGGAAATTTCAAAGTATTTTATATGTTGGGTTTCTTTATGATGCATATTTATTTATTTGTTTGTTTGTTTATTTATTTATTTATTTATTTGAGTTGGAGTCTCACTCTGTCATCCAGACTGGAGTGCAGTGCAGCCACCGCAGCCTCGACCTGCTCCGGTGATTCTTCCGCCTCAGCCTTCCCGTAGCTGGAACTACAGGCACGCGCTACCAATCCCGGCTAATTTTTTGATTTATTGTAGCGATGAGGTCTCGCCAAGTTGCCCAGGCGGGTCTTGAACCAGCGGGCTCAGGCAATCCACTCACCTCAGCCTCTCAAAGCGCAGGATTACAGGCTGAGCCACTGAGCCCGGCTGATGCATATTTATTAAATAAAGGATGATGTTTCATTTATTTTAAAAATAAATTAGCAAAAAGAAAATTTAAGACTCCCATAATGATACTATACAGAAAAACCAATAATGAATCCTTCTAGAATGGGGGGGATTCAACCACAGATCTGTCTGATTCCAAACCTGTCATCTTTATGTTTATTCCACTATCTATATGAGAAAAACAACGCAATACAATATTAGATATCAAGATTTCAA